ACCGTGAGCCCGAGAGACATCTACACGACGGGCAAGGGCAGTTGTGGCGTCGGTCTCACGGCCGGCTTCCTAGTGCGCTCGTGAGGTTTGGCCGGTACGTCAAGCTGAGGGCGTATGGTCGGGGCTCGGGATTGCGTTGGGAATGAGGTAGCGAGCACACCAAGGGTCGGTGCGTAGGGCATGGAGCGACTCGGCAAGCGAAGGCACCACGGCGCGGCGAGCCAAGTGCCGGATATGCAATCGCGTGATATTAGCGGCTTTGATCGCGAGCGCAGCAGCGGGAAGGGGTGTCAATGCCGTGCGGAACACGCAGCTGTTGCGTTCAAGCCAAAGACTGTACCAAACGCAAACGCGCAAGATCGGCCAGAGGGCACGGATGGTCGGCTTGTGGGCTGAGAACGGCAGAGCGACAACATCGTAGAGAAAGCCACCGACCGACGTCGGGAGTTGCAGCTGCAAGATTTGGCGCATCGGTTCAAAAGCGCGCCAGACCGCGCGGATGAATGGGCAGCGCACTAGAAGATGGTCATACGTTTCGCGGGCGGGCACATCACAGAGCGGGCAGTGTCGGGCATCCGGGCTGAGGAAGTGCAAGCTGGACCGGACCGCCACGGCTTTCAACGCGACACGGTAAACAAAATCGCCGTATCGCGGGAGGACATGAGCGGGTTGCCGTAGTGGGACAAGTGCAGCAGCTCGACTTGGTTGCTGGTAATAGGTCGCGGAGACGCCAAGGTGGTGCACCGGCAGCACACGCCAGTCGAAGTTTGGACGACGTCTGTAGCCGGCAAGGCGGATCGCTACGAGCGCAGCTGAGGCTACGTGAGGCCCGAGCTTGACGAGCCAGGTCGGGGCAGGATCTGGACGCGCGGCAGGTGCGACAGGTGCGATAAGTGGGAAGCAGCCAACGATAGCGATCGCGAGCAGCCGGATCCAGCGACGGGGTGGCTGCAGCACTGGAAAAAGTCGTGGCAGTTGCTCGGCGAGGTCAGTGACCGTGTGTCCGAGGGCTTGAAAGCTGTCCACGTGCGTGTAGCCTTGAACGGCAAGCGTCTCGACGTGCACAGCGTTGTCGTGTGCGAGCCACTTGAGCTTGCTGGGCGTCGGGAGATGTGCGTTGTGCCAAACCGGACGACGGTGCGTCACAAGCAGCGATTCGCGTGGCAAGCCATGCATGGTGTAGACGGTCGAGAACCACTTAGGGAGGACCGCCGGCCATCGTGTCGGGAAGCTGGGCGATGCGAGCAGAGCCTTGATCGTCGGGTGACTCTTGCTGGCGTGAAGAAGGTCCCCAAAGGATCCCCACGGTTGGTATGCCTCCTCCATGAGCGAGACTCCTGCCGTGGTTCACGTGGAAGGGTCGTCCGCTTGGGCCAGCCACGCCTTGACGAAACGGAGCTTGGCGGGAAGACGCGCCGCTACTCGCGCCGACGACGGCCGCGGGCCGAGGGTTGTTGACTTGGCTGGACTCGGGTTCCTTCTCGGGTTCGTCGGAGCGAACGCGTTTGGTAGCAGCACGGGCTTCCGCGTTTTCGACCTTGCGCTTGGTGACTGACGGCGGCTCGCAGTTGTTGTACGACGCCACCGATTGGTAGAAGATCACCGTTTGGGGCGCGCCTTGGCGATCCAGGACAGTCAATTCGCGTTAACTTATTGCCCTCACGTCGCGACGTCGTCGTAACACTTGTGTAACATTGTCGTGACGTTGTCGCGACGATGTCGTGATGCTGTCGCGACGATGTCGTGATGCTGTCGCGACATTGTTGTGATGATGATTGGCGGCGTTACCAAGCATGGACGAAGGCATGAAGGTCCGCGGCGAGACTCGACCGCACGGACGGACCCGTCGAGTGTTGGTAGCATCACAACAGTATTACAACAATGTCGTAACAACGTCACGACAATGTTACACAAGTGTTACGACGACGTCGTGACAAAGTCGTGACAACGTCGCGTCCTTTTGCGAGCATATCCGGGCAGCCGTTTGGAAAATATATCACCGCCACGTCACGTTGACAATCTGCCACGTCATCTCGACGACAAAGTCGCTCGTTCTTCCAGAAGCGGTGTGTCATACTAGTAGCGCTGAACGAGACCTTAAGGTTCGCGCGTTGGGTCCCCAAGTGGCGAGCAGCATCAACAAGCCGCAGCCAATCCATCGATGCCGACCTTTTGTATGGCTGGCGTGTCGACCCGAAATCGAAACTTTTGCAACCTTCTCAAATCGCTGTGATATTATTTTCCGGGGCGCTATTTCTCGCTCGAGAGGCTGTATGCCAACGCGCGTGGCTATCAAGTACTCGTTTTGAAACTCGCACGACCGGGTGAGCTCGCCGCGGAGGTATACGGTGAACGGCCGGGGAATGTGGACCATGGGCACTTGGTCCGGTAGTTCCTACATCGATCCAAGTATGGTGCTGGACGATAGAGATATTGTCGATCGTACTTGCAACGTGACTTTTTGACACAGAGGAGGCGCCCGTTGGTCGTGTTGACGCACGAGCGGGTTGAAATCGCGCGACTTGATCTCTTGGTAGACTTCAAACGAGCACACTTCGCACGTGTACGTCGCGACGATGACGAGTGGCTTGACGTTCGAGACACGCGCCACCGTGCCCTTGATGCGCACGAAGCTGCCCACTTTCGACGCCTTCACCTCGCGGATCGGGACCGGCTTGGTCTTGACGCCGGGCACAAGTCTATATATACATGCAATTAACATGCGAAAATCAAGAAGCAAGAACGTACTGGAGCTCAAAGCGGCGCATGAGTGTCGGCGGAAAGACGGTCGCAAGGTCGACGGGCGCGTCGTTCTCGGTCGCCGCCTCTTGCACGCGGTGGAGGCGGAGGACGTCGTCGACCGCATCCGAGAAGAGCGAGACGTGCGTGTTGCGCATGACGTTGCGCACAAAGTCCTCATCGTTCTCAAACTACATGTTTGGTGTCGTAAGCAACGGCGATCCAAGGTCGCATGTACCGAGAGGACGTCGTCGAGCGCGATCGTGATGGTCGTGCGCTGGCGGTCAGCGACCTCTTGCTATCGCACGCGTGAGCGCATGGGACCGAGAATGCACCTTGTACGTACGAGCATGTCTTCGTACTTGCGCGCGCCCGAGAGCGAGTCGACATGGTTGCGCAGAAAGTGGAGCCATTTCTCTGCGGCGACCATGAGACCATTATGCTGCTGCGATATGGTGGCATGTACCTTTTTCTTCCAGGTAGTTGGGAAAGCCGGCCATGGCCATCCCGCCGGTGCCAGTGCTGCAGCTGTCCGCGCCGAGCGCAGACGTTGGCCGACGGCGATGGCATGACATGCTGCGGGCCGCTTCCCGGACGGGGAACGTGCTGCGCGTTGCGGGCGAAGCCGGGCACGTTGCTGTACGAGGCATCGAGGTCCACTTGCGTGTGGTCCAAAATATGGTCGCCTGTTGCCGCCAAAATATCCGGACGCGTATCCGGCGCAGCGACTTCAATCTTTGCATGGATTTGCACCAATCGGAATCGAGCTGGCTGCTCCCAGATAGACGGCGGCAATTGACGATGAACTTCCTCACCGCGATCAAGAAGCCCGAGCACTTCGACAGCTGGCTCTTTGGCGACGATGTCGCGGACCCGCGCCCGCCATTGGCGCCGACAGCGAACCGGTCGACGCCTGCGTCGCCGATGGCCGACGACCATAGGCCATCGTCCGCCAGCACCAAGCTCGCGCAGGCCGCGACGGCGATCCAGGACAAGTACAAGAAGTTGGCCAAGAACAACATGAACGACAAGACGATCTCTAGCAGCTATCCGATGCCACTGAGCAAGAAGTTTCGCAAGTACCTTCGCGACAAGCAGCGCGCCGCCATGGACGAAAAGCAGCGCCGGCTCTTGCAGCTCTCGGAAGTCAGCCGCCTCCGCGCGCACGCGCTGTTCTCGCTGCACGAGATTGACCCAAAGAAGCTGCCGCGCCTTCTCGATTTCTTGGCCAAGACGACTGACGACGGCAACTACCACCACGTCCTTCTCTTCGTCCTAGGCTCGAGGAAGAGCGCGACGCGGCGCGCCGTCGCTCCTCAAGCTCTTCAACAAGTACTTTACGACCGCGTCCGAGTGCAGCATCTCGGCGACGCTCGAGCTCGAAGAGATGGTGCTGGTGAGCGTCCAGACCGACGACATTGGCTGGGTCGGGTTTCGCCCGATCCAGCACCTCGCGTTCAAGCGGCTCACGCGCGAAGAGCTGCCGCGGATCCTCAAAAGCACCGAGTACCTCGACATGCTGCAGGTCTCGGAGCACACGGCCGCCTTTGTGCCCCTCGATCGGTTCCTTGCCAACCCGCGCGGCGCACTACTTTCTCCTCTTCCTCATGCAGAATCGCCAGCATTTCGAGCTCTACTTTGGCTCGACGTCGAGTACGTTCTGAAAACATGCACGTCGGATGCGACGTCTTTTGGACGCTCACACACGACTTGCGCAAGAAGGCCAGTGTCGCTCCTTTAACCCACCCCTCAGCTCCTTCTTGGGCGGCGGCCTCCCAACACGAACCTCGTTCGTCTTCCCATGCATGCGTTTGTAGCCTCAGGAGACGATAATTAGTCGCGTGAGGATGTGTGGGCGCAACGGGGACACCATCAATCAACGAGGTAGCTTGACAAGATGCAGCTGTGGTGTAGTAGCAGTGGTCCGTTCTACCAGGTGTTGGGACCTCCAAGACGCGCCACCCTCGTCGATGGTCCAGTCGTCAAGCCAATGGCCTCGCAGCGACTTGCGTTCGACGACGACGCGCGAATAACGTTTGCAAACTACGCTGGAAACTGCAGTGTACGACGAATATACTTTACGCTTATACTTCGGGGTTCTTGCTATGCATGATGGATCTTTTGAGTTTCATATAGTTTCAAGATATCAAGGTACCAAAAGCAGTGAACATTAATCACATGGCGAGCGCGCGCCTCGCCCTTGTCGTACTGCGCCGTGTCGAAGATTAGAAAGAGCAGACCAAAACGACTCAAGAGCGCGTTGGGGAGATCAGCTTCTTGTTGTACCAGCCGTAAATCGGATTGGCGGCTGCAAGCACCGTCGTCCGCGCGTTGAGCGTCGTCGTCATACCGGTTTTGGCAATGCTCACGGTCTGTTGCTCCATAACATACATATATTTCCGCTTGGTACATATGTATATGCACTTGATACAGATGGAGAGTATCAACCTCGTGGATGGCTGTAGGTCGCCCTCCTCCATCTTGTCAAACTCGTCGACGCAGCAAATGCCCATGTCGGCCAGCACAAGCGCGAGCGTCATCTCCTTGGTGATCTGGCCGCGGTCGTGCGCGACCTTGAGACCGACGCCACAACTGCCCTTGCCCGTCGTGTAGATGTCTCTCGGGCTCACGGTCGCAATGTGCTGGAGGAGCTGCCTCTTGGACGCCG